TAATATAATATCCCTAGTAATAATAGTTATGGGTACCATCACTTCTACCAGTTGCGTCATAAAGATATAAATTACGATAAATTATGTATACTTTGGAATTATATAGTAAATGTTTGTGTGGCTGTTGTATAGGATTGCGTTTATACACTGAGGGTCATTCGAATGACCGCGCGTCCAGTCGTATACATGTTTATTAATTTTAAGAGGATTTCCTTTATTCGGGATAATTTTGGAGACCCTTTTCAACGGCCAATTATCGCATCTCTGACTAAATTTGAAACGCAGCTGTATTTTGTGGTAGAAAATTAATACAGATTATAGTGTTTGACTGATTGCATATGCGTGGACAGTATTTTACGCTAAGATAGTTAGCGAAAACGTTAGTTGTTAGAGTAGGCGCTCTAAAGGAAAAAAAAACATAATATCATATTACTAAAGACATCATTAAAATAAATATTATCTGAAAAACAGAAAAACAAATAACACCTAATTTTATATTTTAAGATAAATGTATATAAAAAAAATCAAAAAATAATACAAAATAATAATTTAATATTGTAATACGTATGCATGTAAGATTTGTGTATTAGCATATAGTATGGAATTTATTGTACTCTAACCTAATATGCTTTTACAAAAAAGCAGATGCTATAAAATAGTGTTATTATAATTGTTAAATGAAGAAACTATGCTCTAAATAATATACTTCCGTTACAGGAACACTATACAACAAAATTAAGACGAAATTCTCTTGGAATACCTTTACTAGTCGCGCACTGAGGTCTWAAAGATTGCAGGTGTGTTGTGTAAAATGTATAATACAATGTCTATAAATAGTGTGTCGATATGACGATATCTGTAATATTTTGTTTATCTCTGTGTTATTTTAATATCGGTGACACATTATTTCCGTGTGTTAGTTGCGTTGTCCATGTTTTTATTAATTTGAATATTATTAGAATATTCTAAATATATTGCAGTATGATTACATATTAATATCAACACAAAAGTATTTGCAGTTGGCACATAATGTTGAGTATACATAACTCGAGACAAAAAATCAATAATTTTTAATAGTTGAGTTTGTAGTGAAAATGCCTTTCTGTCAGTAAAACGATCAATAAAACATTAAAAAATATTAAATATATAGGTGATTCACCAAGCATRTTCATGCATWTTTTTTATCCAATAATACAGTTATTCAAAATCTAATTTTTGAAATTTTGAAATTTACTTAGAGGCCACATTTTCTAATTCTTGAGAGTTTTGGTACTCCTAAAGGAGTGTTCTTGACTAATTATTATTTTTAAAATAAGAAATATCTCCTGTCCCTTTTTATACAACAAATTATTAAGAATATTAATGRATGGTTTTTCTAAAATTCGAATTTAAATGAGTAGTATTTGAATTACCTATTTAACTTTCTGTTCTAAAGATAATAGGCCAAATTGTATATTTTGAACAGTTAAAAACTGAATGTATAGATGCATATCTCGATGGCTACAATATAAAACATTATAAGTCTGTTGTACGCTGCGCTATATATAGTATGGTTTTCTGCAAATATAAAGAGTATACCTATAATATGATTATAATCTGATTCATATTWAAAAAAAAAAAAAAATTGATAAATATAACGAATTAGCTATTTGAGTATARTGTTATTTTTATACTATAATGCGATTATAATGAAATTTGCAGAAAAATTCGTAAAATAATATATTTTCAAAAGAGAAACTGTTATCTTATAAATGTTTAATATTATATTACATTAAAATGAATTATCCATAAGTAAGTACTTCCACTGTCAACATTTTCAAGATGCTAAGGCTCATTCAAATTGTCAAAGATAATCAGCTGTAACTAATATTAAATAGTTTATGAGTTTGACACCCTTACTGTAAAAGTTGAAAACATTATTATTCAAATTGTATTTAATACTTTTATTTTTAATACAAAATGAAACGTAAGTTTAGTTAAGCTTAGTGCTCAGTAGTAATAAGTCTTAATAAAATTAAATTAAAAAGCTGACGTTACAATTAAATACATAATATACGAAACACTAAATTACTAWATCATACATGAAGTTGTAATAACTGACATTATTATTTGATTTTGATAATACGATAATTAGGTGTAGCTTATACAAATAATATAATAACTAATAACTAATGTAATTTAACTGTTATAATATCATAAYATTTTAACGGAAGTTTTTTTTTAAATGCCTAACAATTTTAAGTAATTCTATAAAAAAAAGTCGTTTATTTGTAGTTTGGTAAAAAATATTATTTTGACACTTTATTAAAGAATATTATTTAATGGATGGACGGATGAGTAAGTAGAAAATATGGAAACTATATTATTATGTYTGTCCTTTGTTTTGAAACATGGTTAGCCACACCACTAATCCCTGGTTAATAATTGTCTTTATAATTTTTCAATTAATCCTATTACTCTTTTATGAAAATGTATACCGCAGTACATAATATATTTTAATGGAATTATTGACCTATTCCCTTTTTTTTTCRAATAGTTTATAAATAATTAGTTTCATATCCATGGTATAAAAACTTTTTCTGTATTAAGCTTAATACGATAATCTAATATTTTTTACAAATACGATACATAATATTTTTTTTTAACGGATAATACACGAAGTCAGGCGAGAAATGGGAAAATTATTTTTCGTGTAATAGTGTTATATTTCAGTTCAGTATAATATGTTTTAATAATACGTGTCAAAATCCATTTTGGCATTAAAAATAACCTTAGAAAATAGAGTTTTCCATAAAAAAAAGTTTTTTTGCAATGACAATGGCAGAATTTTTTTTTTTAACTTTCCTAAGAGAATGTTTTTTTTTTTTAATACGTCATCGAAAACACACTCTTCATTTTAAGCTCGGATTATTTGACACACTCACTCGTTCGGTGTAGAGATTACATTGAGAAAAAAAAAATGATAATCTCTCGAAAACCCGTGACGAGAAGTTTAGTGTACCTATTATACTAAATAGACATTCAAGCTAACGTAGATCGATTGTAGAAACACACGTATGCGTAAAAATACAAAATTTTGAAACGGATTACGATTTATTATTAAATTGGTAGTTGTTCCGAGTAGAGTCTTGAAACTAACAATAAATAATTATTCCAAAAGTACCTACTACATCCCTAGACGTAGTGGAACTATTATATCTAGAATCTAGATTATATAGGCCACTGCGGTGTATACACAAAATATTGTTAAATTAAATGACGGTGGAAGGATCGTATCACTTATATTGCAGAGCCGTAAGTCAATTTATAATATATTATGATCAAAATTCGGCAAGATTAGAGTACTAAGCATTGTTTTGAAAGAAAATAAAACCTATAATAACTAATAAGTATCAATAGTCCAATAAATACATCGAATTTTGAAATACTATAAATGTATTGATTATACTGTATATTGTATGACMATAATTATACAGGGCGATCCATTTTAAGTGAGTACACTAATTATCTCGAAAAGTATTGACTATTTTTTATCTTATCTTTTTTTTAAAGTTCTAGGTTTATGTTTTTCTAAAACCGTATAATATTTTAATTTTTTCACCCTTATATTTATTGGTGAAACCACTATCAACTTTTTATTYTCTAATGGTAACATAATAAAATTATCATGAATCATTAAACCATTTTTCACGAATTTACGCGTTAACATTTTTATTTTTCGTTGATTGGTTAGCTAGATACAGCTTCCCAAATTATTGGTAATCGATGGAGATGTTATAATCGGTAAACGCGGCATTGTTTATACCTAATATTTCTTCATTTATAAAGATTAGGAGCTATAACTGAAAAATTTGATACCGTTTGACTTAATACTTAACAATGTTGATAACTGTTCTAGTCAATAAGATAATAAATTATTAGGGTTCAAAGTATAATAGTAATCTTTAGTTAATTGTTATTTATTTTGTTACCTTGGATTCAACGATATCGAAATTATCACTATATAGCTGGACTTTACAATTATCGGAAAAATAATAAAAACCGTCAATACTTTGAGGAGCTTATAGTGGTTTCACTAATAAATATAAGGGTGAAAAAATTAAAATATTATACGGTTTTAGAAAAACATAAACCTAGAAGTTTAAAAAAAAAATTCAAAAAAAATTAATACHTTTCAAGATGTACCCACTTAAATAGATCACTCTGTATATTACCGTAAAATAATTAGTTTTCATTTATTCACTGAATTTGTAATAATTATAGTCTATAGATAATAACGTTTTGATCACAACAAATAGTTTTACTTTTTTTCACAGCAAAATGTAACATGACTTCTAAAGTGAATTTCTAAGTACCTACAGTAGCGTACACAGAAACTTTCAAAATGGCGGTGGGTGGGTGTTATATTAATATATAAATATTATATATGTTTTATGAAAACATTTTCCGCTTTTATATATTGAAAAATAAACCAAAGGTAGAGGGAATTTGGCATATAGAACCTCCAGATAACATTCCCCTGTGTAAACGCTACTGTTGACTATAATTYAGTACAATGTAATAATATTTAATAATATGTTATGGATATTAAAAAACGATATGGATTTGCATGAACGTGGTATCTTTCCTTTTGTTTACGCCTTGATGACATTTTCAATTAAATCTTTTTATACTCGCGAAGCTAGAACGTTTAGTTGTTGGTCCCAACGGATTTCACCTTAAACAAGCATCACGTAGATACCGCAGGTTGTAGGTATACCTTTAGCGTGTAATTCAATAATCATTTTAATACAATTTACAAAAGACTCTTATTATTAATCCACCCAGCGCGTATAGTACCTACCTTTAAAGAATTCTCACGGGAAATTCGACTAGATCGGTTGGTTTCGAAATCACTTTATGGTGTCTAGTTGAACGTTTACCGTTTATACTAACTATTCAATAAATATCATAATTGTACCGTAATAATATTATAATAGTGCCAATCGGCTTTGTTTCAGGTTAGAATATAGTACGTTAGGAGCACCGGATACCAACCAGTTCAAAAAGAGAATACAAATACTAAGAGGTAAAATGATACAATAATACGTTTATAGTAGTCTAATGTATATTGTTGCAGTTTTACAAATACCGTGACATTAGGTATACTTTATATTATAACAAAATAATATTTAAATTGCTTACGAACACAAACTACTTCCGGGGGACGTTTATTATATATTGATTAGAAATAAACCTAAAACAAAATCTACCCAAATGAAATTCCTGGGCTGCTTTTTTCCTCCCTGACATACCCTCGAAAATCCTAATCCGTAATAGTTAATTTGATCGTTATAGTACCTACGTGGATTTTTTTTTTAGAAAATATCCACTACTAATTCGGATGACGCTCGTAATTTAGCATTAGTACTAATATAATATATTAAAATATTGAGAAACTATTCTCATACGATGATTGATAATTTTTCGACCAAATACCTTACATTGATCACAATTCCGCTTCTTTATGCGTATTATATACATAATATAAACATTATCGTGACCCACCGAGACACGGAAGTGATGGACGTGACAATAAACGGCTTCACCGAGTTCCACTAACCATATCAGCCGTCCGACACTTAAAATACAAACACTGACTCGGTTCGCAGACTGTGAGCTGTTCCTGTTGGCCACCGAGTTGGGTCGGCTGTCGTCCAGAGATCTGCCGCTGGTCCGTGGACAACAGCAACTGCAGTGCGTGGTCAGGTTCGCGCAGCGACATCGCTCCCGGTTGGTGGTCGACGTCGTCAAGCTGAACGTGCCGTGCAAACGTGGCCGACTTCAGGTGTCCGGCCACCAGCCGGTGTGCGGCAAACTGGAGGACCTACGCGAGCCCGATCGGCATTACGTGCTGGACGCGGGTCGTTCGCCACCRCCGTCCGTCACATCAACGGTAGGCCGATACTCGTTCTCTATCGTATACCGGTTGGCCGCCAGCTGTTTCGACAACGATGTGGCCCAGCAGAACGGCACAGTCGTGTTCACACCCGGTTCCGAATGTCGGTACAAGGTCACTCAACCGTACGGTTACCGSTTGCGGTTGCTCATCAGTTCTGTGCCATTCGGTAATCAGGCCGGAGACGCTGATGTGGCCGCCACCGCTGACTACGACCACGTGGCCACCACCGCCAAACCAATGACGGTCAGTACTATTTTTACATAAAAACGATAACATTACTTTCAATAACAGTTAACATGATAAGTTTAGTTATCATCACCTCTCATTGCAATCAAAAGCTTATCAATAATTTTTAGAATAATACATAAATGGTACACAGCGTGCCTGTTTCAGATTAACACTTTAGTAAACTTTTAAACAATAATGTGCACATGGCGATGCGATATAATAATCTATATAGGTACTATAAAATCAGTAAGTAAAATCAATTAAAATAATAAACGAATATATTAAACATTTTTTCAGACCTGTCTATATAGGTATAATTTAAAAAAATCCTGCTTAGGAGTAGTATTGTGCAAACAGACCCTCCTCTGTCGATTCTAAACTGGGAAAAAAAGTAATTTTAAAATCCGGCTTAATAGAATCATTAAATATTTTTTCTTTAACCATCATAAATAATTGTTAAAATATAATTGATTTTCACCTAAAACAAGCTATATAATATGGTTATAGCTATTGTAAGCTGTCATTACGCGTTAGTGTGTAAAGACAATACAGCATGGCAGGATGATAATTTTGTATTATACCATTATATTATGTCCCTAAGAATGGAACAATCGATTTCAATCGATGCACAAATTTAAAGTTCCGACACAAATAGAGTTTGTTATACCTGTAATAAAACAAAATGTAATGTTATATAATATCAATTAATTAATAAATTGATAAAAACTTTTAACTGCAGCTTATTAAAATCATTATTATTTAAGCACATGATTTTTCTTTTATGTACATATAATATTTATAAGGTATATATTATATACGTGTAATATCACTAATATCTATATTTTTGAAAATACTGAAACAAATACTCTATGGGAGAATAGATCACAAGCGGAGTGAAAAAGGCATAAAAAAAGGGTTTAATAATTATTGTAGAACTATATAATTACGTCATATAATATTTTTTATTTTTATATTTTGGAAAACTGCTGGGCGTTTACAATCTTAACCATTTTTAGTGGMATTTATATGGCACAAAACGCAAATTTAAATACATCCAGTGTCGTAATTAAGGTCAAAGTCAATACGGACAAAACCCCCATCATATATACTTTACGAATTTATATAATACCTGGTTTTACGACATTACCAGCTGTGGATGTCCCGAGTGCGTCYGGTTTTTCATTTTTACCTTTTTTTAATAGCCCAAGTGCTAAACACATCTGAAACTTTTAAGAGACAAAACCGACAGTGGTYATGGCAGTACAGATATTTACGTAATTTTTATAACAACCGTCACAATATGGTAACAAATAACATTTTATTTTAACTTCGAAAATAATAGATCACGATTACGGCTTGATGAGAGTATTACTGAGCAGTAGACTGACGACCGGTGTAACAGACACGTGTTTTTAATGTTCAAAACTTTCAAAGAATATAAAAATGATTTAGAGACAAGAAAAAAAAAATTATKGCTAAAGTGAGTACACTCACTCAAACTTAAAATGTGTATACATTGATGTAAGACAAAATAGTAAAATAAATAATCATAACAATCTATAGTAGTRCACCCTGGGTGTCTTATATGTACTGGGAAGCATTTGCGTTATTACAAAAATATGAATTTTTTTCTTGGAACCCATTGGGTAATAACTTATTCTGGGTGCACTCCGTGGTATAGTAAATATGAGTCGATCCGAGACGTTCTTGGGAAACTCCTTACCAATAATTATTTATCAATGTTTTCTATGAWCTAGCGATGATAATTAAAATAATATTTCGGAGCGCCATTTGTCTTCTTTGAACACTGTTTTCGATCGAATTTATTTTTTCCCTAGTAAAATAATCTTAGTATTATTTATATTAAGAGTAGAAAAATAGTCATTGTTCATATTGTGCTTGGAACTCAGTATAGGTATTGAGGTATCTATTTCCAAACAAAACAGAATAATAACAATAATATCGTTTAAACTTTTTATTTTATACTAAAAATAAATTTCAACAACATTTCTACTAACGACAAATAAAACAAAAACTATAAAAGTATAAATAATTAAATATATATTATTAAAACCGCAATATGACCTGACTAAATGTTTGTGTTATTATAAAATATGAAATGGAAGCAATATAAAAACTGCTAATGGCCGAGTCGTCAATTTAAAACAAAAAGGATATTAAAAATAAAAATCATTTTTTAAATATTAAATAAACTTACAAAATGAGTCAATATTTAATATTTAAATGTTAATTATGATTTATTGACCGGATTAAATCTGTATTAAATTTGAATCTGGTACCTAAGCTTTTCCTACACTACGAGTAGGTGGCGTGGTCAGCAGCTGATGTCTCTTTTTCATATCCTATTCCACTTTTTTTTTGTTAGAACCACACAAAACGTTTGTTTATTTATTATTTGTTAGCTAATGTTTTTTTAAAATCCTTTTTACATAAAAATACGATAAATTATAATTTTTGAGTTAAAAGTTAATTATTTCATTTTAATTAATATAAATAAAAAAAATAACTGTCATAATACCTCAATTGGTTATACTCAGCAAAGTATATTAACTATTAAGTGGTATAACACGTAATTTAGTTATTTAGCCATGTACACAGTTATCTACAAAGTAACACTAAAATATATTATATATATAACCAATTTTATCTTTCGTCACGCTGAATCCAAATATACATAATACATTATTTAATAATGCTATCTGTATATTTAGTGATTTATGAAATCAACATGATAAAGTATATATTGTAATACATATATAAAAAACATTTATAAGTGTGAATTTTACGAAATGGCAATAATGCTCAATAATACTTCATGTTTATATGCCATATGAGTATATGACTAGGTATTTTAATATGGTCTTACTTGGTTTTTCTAACCTATCTAATAATATAGGTACACGCATAATTATTGTATTTAGAAATTATATGATAAAAAATATTGTAGAATTTTCGTTATTCTTATACTTGTGGGTTAGGATAATGTAGGTGACTTGCGTATCTTACTTATGCATCCACTCGGCCAAGGGCACCTGCATAAATTATAATCGGGGGAAGGGGTATAAAGTCAATAATAACACAGCGCATATTTTTTTGTTTTTTTTTTTTTATAAGTGAGAAAACGATTAATAATAATTAAAATATCGAGTGCCACTCCACCCTGCGGACGCCACTGTACTCGGTGAGGTTATGCACTCGGCACATAATAAAAAAAAAGCGGGCGAGGTGGCTTGTTGTCATGTTAGAGGTGATATGGGAGTTTATTTATGATTAGTTTCGATGAAGTGTTGTCACGCCCGCATAGCATAACAACACACTCTTGGACACGAAAACAAAACGCGGTAATAATAATGTGGTTATCTACACATCGCGAGTTTACCATAATATACAACGATATGGATGAAGGCGCGTTTCCACTATATCCGTGTGGTGTGTGTGCACGTAAAATCTTTAGCAATGTCCAACAACACGGTAACGTGGTTAATCGTGTGGTAACTTTTCCAATCACAACAAAGGATTTATGTGAACGTGTATATAGGTAGTGGAAGCCCACCTTGATGGACGACAGTCGCCTCGGCCGAGCATACCGTGGTTGTGGAGCACTACTGGTACCTATATAATATCTCATTGTGCAATTCTTAGACGACGTGTTAAAAAAAYTTTCACTAAAACATWAATTGTCGTCGAAATCCAGTGAGTTTTCAAGCCTTTGCGATATGACTGTAATAAAACGATTATGGTGACCGCTAAATGTGTTATTAAATTAACAGTTCTCATGGTGAACTAGTAACCATGATATTTATAATTTATTATCAGTGTCTTAGAAAAATGTTCGTCGGCAGCCGTTTTCTCGGCCTTGCCTTTGTCTCCAATGATCTCTGATTCTGTGCCACGAGATTCGCACCGTGAGTTAGATCAATAGTCAACCATTTTCGTGCCATCGTTCGCAAATAGTTATACAAATATAATATTATAGTGTAGGTTGAAAAGTGGTAGAAACGAGTCATGGTCATCACCTCCAGCCCAACGACATGTGTAGGCTACATAGTGCATATTATTATGTAGTTTCCCGAAGCCACTCATAGATTATATTAATTATGTATACTAAATATACCAGGTAAAAAAAGTTTTTGTATTATTACATTATTTTACTTATTATGATATAGATATGATAATAATATATGGATAGGTTTGGACTCACTACCATAATTATGCACATACTCGTATAATATCTTTATTGACTATATAATATCAATAYTTCATACTCACCAACTTATTYCTAAGTTCATGGCCACATTATAATACTTAGATAGTTAGATGCAAAAGGAACATTTGTTTCAGTCGGATAACGTGTTAATAGGTGTATACTGTATAGGTCCCCATTAAAAATAATTTGTTATAACTTAATTGTTAAATAAACTAATATTTAATTTATAAAAAAAAATAACGTATTAATGAATAATGGAAGACATGATGAGATGTTAAATAATTTTAATAATAACTGTTTTATATTCTTAWAATAAGGTTACGTATATTACTATATTTTTTGTGTTGCAATTGTTTGTTCCATAATGGCTTTGGTCCTTAACTTGGCTCTGCCTAAGGTATATACATACATAGTGATACCACTTTATAATTACTGTATATTTATGTATCATAGATCGACACACTTCCGATTCACCAATCGACCAACACGTGCCCGGGGACTTTGTTCCGGCTCACCGACGGCGCCATCGGGTGGTTTTATTGTGCGCCGGCTGATGGTCCTAGACGACAGATGTCCATGGTGTCTGAGACAAACGTAGTGTTAATGGAGTCGTCGTCGGCGTCAACGCGCGTGCCAACGCTGGTGGTGGCGTACCGGGCTGAACCAATACCGGAAGTAGTATCCCAGTGCCCGTACGGTTCCGTATCACTCAAATCTGGACGGTGTCTGACCATCGTCAACGAATTGCTCAACTGGGAAGACGCCGAAGAATATTGTTCGCAAAATGGCGCTGGTGGTCATTTGGCCAGCATCGACAGTCATCGCACGCAAATGCTCATCGACACGATATTGATTAATAGGTATGAAGCATATTTAAATATTTTCTACATAATGTTCTAATTTCCCACGCATTCTGAATCGCTGATATTTATTATGGTTTGTGAAACCTAAGTTCTCCGACAATCATTCTTTCCCGTTTTTCGTCAAAACTGTAATGGCGATCATAATTTGCCAACATTATTCGATTTAATATTTTCGTGATAAGATGGGTAGTGAGTTCTAGCAACAGATAACATRTACTAATTAATTGTGAGTACTTTATTCATTTGATCTTTGAGGAAATAAAACATGTAAAAATATATGCATACAAAAATACTTTCAATGAAYAATATAATATTAACGTGTATTGTCATCATCGCAGATGGAGTCAACGGTTTAATGCAAATTATTCATTTTTATAATATATCTAAACGAAGAAATTTTCATCTATATAATATTACTGTAATGTGAGACGTATTGTCGGTGCGCTACTCAAAGTACTCGTTCATGTTCCGTCACTGCTTAGCAATCCTTTGTAAACAAATAACAATAACAAATTGATTATATATTTTGTACTTCAATTATTTGAATAGGTAACAAACAAAATTTCGGTATTATAATATGTATACTTACCTGCATATTATATACACATGAAAAATGCTTAACATTTACGTACTCCAATCACAGTTGTTGTGATGTTCCAATGACTTTAAATAAAAAATTGTATTGTATGCCAACAATGGTGTTACTGTCGTAAATGTCGTACTGTCCTTATCAAGTTTAGTAAGAGGCACAATATCATTGCGATAGGCAAACGGGGAAATAATTAATTAAAACTCCACAAAACTTTCATCACTCTAACAACTGACATGACCAGGTGCTATGAAGATCATACTATTATTAGTGCACGCATTCACAAATTACGAACTGACWACTGGCACATGACTAGCAGTGGCGGCTCGTMAARGGAGGCAWGTGAGGCTCAGCCTCACCAAAGTATTGTAAAAAAAAAGGAGRGACATATTCTATAATTATTGTTATTTCCAATCGAATTCAAGAATATTAAAATACTTAATAATATATTATACATTTTAAAATACAAAATCTTTTTGTTATTAATGTTATTATACATTATTATAATGACAAAAAAAAAATGTATTTTATCGTGTATAATATTATTATGATAGTACGTCATACTTCGTCACTGTTATCAAAAATCACGTCGAAGATGTTCGTTGAACGATAGAACGATCTCAACGAAAACCGAAGAGTGCCGAGAGGCTAGTAATATTTTTCCTCAGACGAGTATGATTATAAAATATATCATGGTAGAGGGGGAAGTCGGAATTTTACTATGAAATGAGGCAGAATGATTCGGGCCTCAGAGTTTGTCAACATTATCCATTAGTCATTTGTCGAAGCGACGTAACTTCCACTCATAGAAATAGGAATAGTGTAAGTTTATACCTACCTATAATACTTTTATCACAAACGAAAGATATCGGTTCTTATCTGTCTAGTGTTTAGTGTCTTGTAATTTGTACTACAGTTTAGTAGATCTCTGAGAGTAATAAACTAATAAATAAAAAAATAATTGACAAATTTGCATTACTCAAAGACAGAAGAATAGATTTAATTTAYAAAACATAATATAAAATTAATTTTTTTATTGTTTTAGTAAATGAGATTTATGTAAWAAGTATTATTTTTTTTTTAAGTTGACTTTATTCTGATATTTCAGATAATAATAAGTATGGTTTATTATTTACATATTTTTAAAGATTAATATTAAATATTAAATTTAATTATTTTAAAAGTTAATTTAAAACTCATTTTTATATAACTCCCCCCTCCCAAAAAAAAAATTAATAATAATGATACAATTTAAAATTGTGTTGTAAATAGCTAAATAGAGATTTAATAATAATAATAAAAATATATATATATAATATACAATTATCTATGTTTAGTGATATATTGACATTTGTTTTGACGCACTCTACCAATGAATTATTATAACAGAACCTTTAAGAATTTTTTTGGTGGGAAATTATTTCCCATTGCCCTATGGTGTGTTTAGATTTTGAAAATATCTGCTCACCCATCAAACGCTTCACGAGCCGCCACTGATGACTAGATGAATAAAATTCTCCTCACAGAAAAGGCGACGAATTACGTGGTTATTAAAATTTTATGAATTAAATATTTCCATCGAYGGTAGTTTCTTTTATTACTGCTTTGGCTTATGCTTGTAGTATTCCGGACGTTGTSGCAATTTTTTTATACTTACACAACGCATTGTCTGAGCCCTGAGGTAACTGGTACGTACGTACATGTGTGTGACTCTGACCTGCTCGTGTGTTGTATTTCAAATTTTAAAATGGCGCACACCTTGCGAGCGTGTCGCCAACGCCACCTAATGATTTATCAACGTAAATTCGTGTGCCGGTGATTGACATACCTATAGTTGTAAATTATTTATTAATTTTTATTATTATTATTGTCAACACGGAAAAACTGTTTTAGCTTATAATTGTTAATTATAGATACCTAARTGAAAATAATCTTATAAATTATAAATACTTTGGCGGTATACTGAAAATCTAGATGAAATCATTTTTTTTTTAACATTATATAACAACACCGAAAAAAAATGACAGAACGTAATATATAAACATACAAATAGATTATTGTAGATCGTATCGAACTACTGTTTTAACGAAAGATATATTATAATAGACGGTTATCAAAAGTTCAGTACTCAAAAATGTCAAATTTGTAGTCAGTGCTATCACTGTACTCATTTTACTTACCTACTAAGGCAGTGGTTCCCAACCACTCCTATCCTTTCTTTGTAGATTTTCGAAAATCTTGCACCCCCCTCCTATAAATTGTAAAAAATCGATCGCATTTTTTGGTGTACTTCACATATAAACTATCTATATTCTATATTCTATACAATATTCGGAATAAGGCAAGAATTATTAAACAGATAACGTGACATAAAACGATTAAGTTACACGCTGTGGCCAAACATTTATAGTCTTTATCGGTTATCCGTTATTGATACTCGATTAACAGATAAAGATTTTCGGTCAAATAAAAATTGTACTTCGTAATAACTGCTTGCGCCTCCCCAGCAATGTGTACACGCCYCCCAGTTTGGGAACCAGTGTACTAAGGCGTCTATAACATACTATGATATTTAGAACCTATTGTTTTATCAACCTATAATTATTTACTTTCTTATCGTCAACACTAAATACGAAAAAGGTTTGACTTAGTTATGTATTTTGGAATGATCATTATGATAATTATTAATTTAACTAGCACATTAGTAAACTATGAAAACGATGAACAACGATATTAAATAACACAATATAATGTTATAGTATAGTAGAGGAGTCAGAAATACTCTCAAAAAAGAAAAATATGGTATGGATAAAATAATGGAAATGAAATAGAGGGTATTAAGACGTGTGTTTAAAATAACGAATAATGCACATTTTAATGATCTTGTATATATAATATATATAAACGCTAAGTTTTATGATTTTTTTTTTTTAAAGTCCCAGCTACAGTGACAACGCTCCGTATTGGATTGGAGCTACGGACATGAATAACGAAGGATTTTTCAAATGGACAGACTCATCGCCGTTTACTTATTCAAGTAAGTTTAGTGTGGTTAATGCCTTAATGGTCCCGCATGTAGATATAATATAATGTGTAATTGTATAMAAAGGTGTCTAACCAAATATCTTTACGATCTATTTACTCATTTGTTTTGTAGACTGGTATCAAGGACACATACATCAACCGTACAGTGGGCCGAATTCAAAACAGCCTAACGACGACGGACTTAGTAGACAGGACTGTGTCGAACTCAGACAAGTGTACAGGCCCCAAAACCGATTGCTCAAGTACTTTAATCGAAATTCGTCTTATACTTGGAACGACCGCGACTGCTCTGTGAAAAATCGATTTCTATGCCAAACGCAACAGCACACCTCTTTAAACGATTATGGTAATGATTATTTTATTATAAACCGTACCTTGTATGATGTAATTTTTAATAAATTATATGCATAGGAAAAATTATAAGAAAAAGATTGCATATMTATTCGTTATAAGTTTAATTTGTATATATGTATTTTTTTTTTATCAGATCCGGAAGAATCGAATTGTAATGTAACGATGAAATTAACCAGCGAAATGAGGTTTGCCTCGGTYTCRAGTCCAGGTTTTCCACAACCTTATCCTGACAACCAAGATTGCACTTTCAGTGTAGAAGTACCTCGAGGTTATCAGATCGAAGTTGAATTTGAAGAACTCATGTTGGAAAACGAATCAACGTAAGTATTAAAATACACATTTCAATAATATTTTGCAGGACATTTTATATATATATACATAATATATAACTATCAAAGTGAAAAAGTATATTGTATATTTATTTATAAAAAAACATAAATAAATACAATCTTAAAAATAAACATATCATCTGTTCTTTTTCAGTTGCAGTTATGATTACGTAGAATTAATTCCTGGTGACGACGACGAGGGCCCTAAACACTGTGGAGACAAGAGTGACATACTCAAATTAACTAGGTTCGTCACCAAGAAGACCAAATTGAGAATACATTTTGTATCCGACTATTCTCACTCGTTCAGCGGCTTCAAGGCTCGCGTATCCGCCGAACAYGGTAAGTGGTATATTTCGAGCGACTCAGCGATGCCTATTTTTGACAATTATCATTATCAATAATCTTTATAACAATATTATTTACTAAATAATTCATTTTGTCCTTAATAAACAGTTAACAACGAGTGTGACGACGCGAGACAGCAAATGTTCAATGGATCGTGTTATTTGTTTGCTAGTTACCCTGAAGTGTCTTGGCACACTGCTAGAAGTATCTGCAATGGAATTAAAGTAACTAATATAGTGTTATTATTATTGATATAGGTGCATAAAAGCATGGCTTTCAAAGATTTTTAAAATTCTTACGTATATGTGTTGCTCCGTTTGCGAAGGCGGAATTAACGAGCATCCATAATGCTGAGGAAGAACAGTTCGTCGAATCTTTTATCCGGGAGTCGACTGACAGTAGATCCGCAATTTATTGGTTGGGCGGAACATGGAATGACAAATCCTGGTACTGGGTGGATAACTCGACAGAAACATTTTCAGGTTTGTCAGRTGTTGTATATGCATTAGGAATATCCTAAAAAGAAATATGTAATTCGAGCAATAAAAAAAAATGTATTACAACCATATGTGTACAGCTTGGTTGGCGACTGACGCAGCGAACGCATTACCTTACAAGGATATCTGTCTCGCAATTAGTTGGCTATCGTCACCACCCGTAAATCTACCAAGGGGCCTTTACTGGACTGCCAACGACTGCAACACGGTTGGAGGGTATATATGTAAAAAAAATCAAACAAGTAAATACCAATAATTTCACAGCAATAATAATAATGAAAATATTATATGTATCTACAACGCGTTGTTACTGTTACTCGTAATATTATATCCAATAACCTAWCGATAGAACTATACATGTATGAACAGTAGGGTGATGTTAATTTGACGGCTAATGACAAAACCTTCTCGGTAAAAAAAAATTTGTTTACATATCGACAAAATCACCAACAGGGGCACAAACGTGTCGATYGATATTTTAGATTGAAACCCGGCGGAGTGCATAATAATCTCCAAAATTCGAATTTGTATATGAAACAATTTATTTTTTATTGTTAAACAAAGAAAAAATATTTTTTTAAATTTCCCTAAAGTTTTATTAATCACCAACAAATTGTTTGTCAAAAAATAATCAAAAACAGACTTAGAATCAAAAGAGTAGGACGTACCTATTAATCATTAATCAAACACATTAAAATTTTGCAAAGACGTGTTATTGAACTAAACTATTAAATTTCTTTAAAAAAATATATATACTAGGTACGATAAATAAGTTAATCTTTTTTCTCTSGATCGCTTTACTTAAAAATATTATAATTTTGAGTGAATCTGATTTCCAATCAATTTAATATATTAATAAAATTCTGTTAAAATAATTATTAAAACTTTTAAAAATGAAATATAATGAGTTACCTATTATTGGCTACTTATGAAAATAATAATCCTGATCAGAATTAACGAATGATAATGTGTTATTGTATTATATCAACCTACTAATATTTTTTTGCAAATTTTTGGAATTATTGAATCAAGAATTATCGGATCATTACAATTTAAACACCACAGTGACAGGCGTAAAAGGGATAATAACGTCGTTAAATTATCCKGCAAACTATTATCACAACTTGGACTATTGGATACACGTAGTCGGCGCGCACCAGTCACGCATCGTTTTCCAGTTTGATTCCATAAACATCGAGCCACAAGCTGATTGTCTTTACGATTTCGTCGCCGTGGTGGAACCAAAAGAACGTGAAAACCGAACAATGACGGTCTGCGGTTACCGCGGAAATCATCTGGAAGAGTGAGATCATATTTTTATTACTATTACAACGTCAATATTATAATTTATCTGTTAAATAAAAAAAACAACTATTTTACAATGCCGAATTCTAATTATGTTACAGTTACATCTTTGTTACCGATTTGAATGAAGCGTTCGTGCACTTCCATTCGGACTACTCCGTGTCTAGTTCGGGATTTCATCTCCAGTGGAACACAGTCGACATGTCCGGTTGTCCGTCACAAACACTGTCCGCTCTCGAAGGCCAAGTTCTCAGTCCAAACTATCCGAACTTTATACTTCCAAACCTCAACTGCGTCACCATGATACTGGCGCCGGGTGAGGGCTAGGTCTATAGAGTTATAAAACCACGATTTTAAAACATTATTGTACCACCGTGACTTGCAAGTACGGTATAAATAATATGCATTTTCGGATCTTTCAGTCGGCCACCGTATATGGATTGATTTTGTTGACTACAACTTGGACGAATCCCAAACGGTCAAGTTGTACCTATCGAGAACTGCGGACAATATAACTCCATTCAAATATCGGAACTCAATTAACGACGGTGCGTTTTTATCGGAAGGCGAGAGCGTCAACATCGAATACTCTACAAACCRCTTGCCCAGGGGAAGGGGTTTCAAAATAAAGTACAAAATGGGTACGTACGGTCTTATAGCACTATAAGACAACAATGTTATAATAATATGACAATAAAACGTGATTATTAAAAATAACGCATTTTAGTGGTGGACTTTGACGAAGAACGCGCGATCGTGCTGCAGAATGATACGTCTGGATTTATGTACAGATTAAATTATCCATTGCCTATGCATTTTCCCAAATTGCGGTACAAACAGAGGCTGTTGGCTTCGATCGGACAAAATATCCAATTGCAGTTCAACCGCGTGGTACCGGCACAAAGTAAGCGTTTTCAAATATAAATCTAATTATATTATAACCGTCTCGGTGGTTTGGTGGCTATATACGTTATCTTAAACCTATTATGTTACCTGTATTATACCTAATACCTATAATAATGTAATAGCAGTTCTTCATCGACATAATGTTATATGTCGCAACCTACAACTTCGGACAAGATTTTTCTTCGGGAAAGGGGCTGATGATGGGTCAGGGATCGTAGGGATCTAAACCGTTTCAAATTTTAACGGTTACGGTTTCGGTTTTTTCAAATATTGATTTTATTTTCCTGCATCTAAGGACTGTAGACCCAATTTTTTTTAATTATTRAGGGTACTAACAATTTTAGGCCAAGAAGTCATTATAAATATGCATKTTTTATCTTAAGAACATTTGTCGATTTTATTACCAATACTCAATAGGCAATAAATAATAACATTATAAATACAATATATCATTATTTTAGTACCTACATGTATTGTAATAGTTAGAACACAGTAGGAAATAAGAATACATTTACATAATTTATATAAGTGCCATTATATTATGAAGTATCTTCTTTATTTGTGACATTATGTCTTTTGTCTGGTTTTCATAAAAAAATGCTTAACTAAAAAAATGCTAAATTGAAACTTAAAATTATGGCTTCCTTATAATGGTCTCATTCAATGTATGAATTTAGTAGCTTAAATTCATTCTCTTTCATCCATTTACAAACGAAAAATTGTATTTAATACTTTTTCTATCAAAACTTATAAGCTATATTACTAATAAATGGATAAAATACAGACGTGCATAGCCGCATAGAGGTGAACAAGATAACATTGTATTTTAATTTTTAATCAATAAGTATAGTAATAATATAAAATATAAATAGAACAATATTCGTATTACCAACTAATATTTCATAATACTGAGTACCTTAATAGCATCGAGATTTTTATTAATAAATTCGAACATTGTATTATTTTCTTCGTATAAAAATACTCGTTTTAACTAGAATCATAAATAATATAATTAACTTAACAAAATTTGAAGAAATCAATATTAAATTTTAATTTTAATCGATTTTTCAAGAACGGTTTTTCAATTCTATGGTTTCGGTTTTAGTTTTGTAAACGGTTTTTTAAAGACCTTGGATTTCAGTTACGGGTTTTTAATCAGCTACTGTTTTAAGGCTTTTGATGTCGGTTCTGCTTATGGTGTTCAATAATGAAAAAACAGCGGTTCTAACCGGATTTTCAGAAACCATTATCGATCTCTGGTTTACACAGAGTATGTTGAACTAAAAGGTCTCCCTTAACTTTAGCATACTGATGTTGAGGTGTTATTTTGGTTTTGATTCCTGTCGGTATATTATGCTATATAAATTTGTATTTTCAGTAACTTTAATAGCTTAATGCTATAAACCATAGAAATAATTTTCAATTTCTATAAAATTTCTGGTAGGGACTGACTTTGGATGCAGCCCGCTTTATATATTCTCTATGTTAAACTAATTTTAAATTTATATTTTTTTCAGTGGACACCACATTAGGCCGTACCGTATGCCCGGGTCAGCAATCAACGGCTGTYATCGAGGTCCATGATCATTACGCTGCTGAGAACGGCACGTGGTGGTTGCTGTGTGAAAACGTCGAACAACCAAAATCCGTTCCAATATCGATCACTTCGTTTCTCAACTCAATGTCCGTAGTCATTGTATACGGCCAGAAGCCAGCGACAGATATAGCATCCGCAAACATTTCAGTGAACGTAAAACCCGGTTCGTATCATACTGTTATTTATTCTCCATGTTATTGTGCAAGAAT